TTTGAGGTTACTGTGAGCTGTGACGCCACAGCACTCTCCCGAGGCCAACATAGTGATACTCTGTCTCAAAAAATAATAAAAATAAAAAATAATAAAACCACAACAAAGGCTGGGCATGGTGGCTCATGCCTGTAATTAATCCTACCACTCTGGGAGGCCAACACAGGCCTGCTTAAGCTTAGGAGTTCTGAGTGAGGCTAGCCTCACAAAGAGTGAGACCCTCGTCTTGACCAAAAATAGAAAAATTGGGTGGCACCTGTGGCTCAGTGGGTAGGGCACCAGCCACACATACCAAAGGTGGCGGGTTCAAACCCAGCCCTGGCCAAACTGTAACAAAAAATAGCTGAGTGTTGTGGTGGGTGACTGTAGTCCCAGCTACTTGGGAGGCTGAGGCAGGAGAATTGCCTCAGTCCAGGAGTTGGAGGTTGCTGTGAGCTATGACATCACAGAACTACCAAAGGTGATAAAGTTAAACTCCATCTCTTAAATAAAAAAAAGAATGAAATTCTGATACAAGTTAAAACATGGATGAACCTGGAGGACATTATGCTATTTATAAAAGACAATAAACCAGTCATAATCAGGAGTGTCTAACTTTTCTTCTTCTCTGTCCCACACTGGAAGAAGAGTTATCTTGGCCACACATTAAACACACAAACACTAACCAAAGGTTAATGTTTAACCAAAGGTTAATTATCCATGCATAATTTTTGTGATCCCTACCACCACAGGTAAGCAAAAAACTCCTCACATAATCTGCATGCAGCCCACAGCCACAGGTTAGACACTCCAGTATGGTTCCACTTACAGTGAGGTATCTAATGTAATCAGATTCATAGAAACGAAGAATGATGGTCATGAAGTATGAGGTGGGGGCGGGGGATGAGAAAGGTTGTTGTTTAATGGGTATGAGGTTTCAGTTTCACCAGATAAAGAGTTCTGAAAAATGTGAATGTACTTACTACTAGACTGTACACTTAAAAAGATACTGAATTTTCTATTTTGGATATTTTACTATAGTTTTTTTTAAAAGTATACTATATGATTTCATGATCTAAAATTCCAGAAAATACAAAATAATATACAGTGATAGAAAGCAGATCAGTGGTTGCCAGGAGACAGAGGAAGGGTAGGGTAGGGAAGAGGAAACAGAAAGGGATTTCAATAGAGCAAAAAGAAATTTGGGGCGGGGGAGCAACAGGCATGCTCATTGTTTTATCATGAGGATTTCACAGCTATAAAAATATGCCAGAACACATCAAATACTATCCTTTACGTGTAATTCATTATATGTCAATTTTATCTCAATAATACTGTTTATTTAAAAAAGGATAACTAGGGCAGGCGCCGGGTCTCACACCTGTAATCCTAGCACTCTAGGAGGCTGAGATGGGTGGATCACTTGAGCTTAGCAGTTTAAGACCAGCCTGAGTAAGAGCAAGATACCATCTCTACTTAAAAAAAAAAAAAGCCAGGCATTGTGGTGAGCACTTGTAGTCCCAGCTACTTAGAAGGCTGAGGCAAGAGGATCACTTGCATCCAAGAGTTTGAGGTTGCTGTGAGCTATGATGCCATACCACTCCATCCAGGGTGACAGAGACTGTCTCAAAACAAACAAACAAAAAAAAGGATAACTAATAAAATGTACTTGACTTGGGGCCTGTAGCACAGTGGTTATGGCACTGGCCACATACACCAAGGCTGGCGGGTTTGAACCCAGCCCAGGCCAGCTAAACAACAATGACAATTGCAACAAAAAAACAGCCAGGCGTTGTGGCGGGTGCCCATAGTCCCAGCTACTCAGGAGGGAGGCAAGAGAATCTCTTAAGTCTACGAACTGGAGGCTGCTGTGAGCTGTGCCACCACAGCGCTCTACCGAGGGTGACACAGTAAGACTCTGTCTCAAAAAAAAAAAAAAATTCACTATAAAGCCTTACCTCATCATCAATCTTCATCTGAAAATCTTCCTCATTTTCTTCTTCTGGAGCAAAAAAGGATTTCTCACCATAACCAGCATCCTGGAAGAGGACAAATCCATTCATAAATCAGTCAATTAAAAAACACAATGTACGAGTTTTATTGAATATGAAGTATACAGCATCAAAGCTTGTTTTGCATAGATAATGAATTCTGTAAAATCTTCCCTCTGTCACCACTGAACATCCTCTTTAAGCTATTAGAAGATATATTACCATATTCCGAGAACTTATTAAATAATATAAAGATAGTTAGGGCTTACAAGGAAGCTGAACAGAGGTGCTCATAAACTGAGATGCATTAACTCAGTGGAACAGAGCAATACTGTCCGACCCCAGCTGGATCTTTTCTATTTTGGCCTTATAAGGATTTTGTCATCCTCAAAACCACACATCCAATACCATCATCATCTCTGCCCATCTAAGAGGCTAAGAAGTACTTTTCTTTTTTTCTTTTTTTTTTTTGAGACAGAGCCTCAAGTTGTCCCCCTGGTAGAGTGCCGTGGCATTACAGCTCACAGCAATCTCCAACTCCTGGGCTCTAGCGAGTCTCCTACCTCCGCCTCCCAAGTAGCTGGGACCACAGGCGCACGCCACAACGCCCGGCTATTTTTTTGTTGCAGCCGTCCATTGTGGTTTGGCGGGCCCGGGCTGGGGATTCGAACCCGCCACCTTAGGTGTACGTGGCTGGCACCTTAGCCGGATGAGCTATAGGCGCCAAGCCACTGTTCTCTGCTTGTATGTTGGTCTTGCAAAGAAGAGAAATTAATGTCACCAACCTAGATGAATAACCGTTTTCAAAGCAAAGTAATATATCCTAAATTCCTCATTAAGCCTTCCCATTAATATTTAGCTACATTGCAGTTTCCCCCAGAACTGATGTACACAGGAAGTACTCAATATGGTTTGACTTTTTTAGTAACTGGTAACCATCTAGTAACCATCATCTCAAAGAAAGTCTTCTCTTCTATCTCTCTGAAAAAGCGACACAGCCATAAGCAGTGCCTATGAGGAAGGTGTTCACCTTCAGCCGCTGCTCTGCAGCTATCATGCTATAATAAGCACAGCATTGCTCTGGTGACACCATAGCTCTGATCTCCTCTTCAGTTGGTAGACGAAAATCTGACTTCAGCACCCACCAGTTTGAGTCCATCCCTGGAAAAAAGACAGAGAATAAGACTTTTCTGAATTCCAAAGGCCCTGACATTCGTTGACAACAACAAAGACAGCAAACCAAGACTGAACCAGGCAATGCCTAGAAGGTAGCAAGCCTAACCACAGTTAGCATGATTGTCTGGCCAAGAAAACCCATACTGCTAAGTTTCCTATATATCATATAAGACATCCAACTACCACGCAAAATTTCCTGGCCGCCAAATTCAAAGGGTAATCAGTGTCAGTAATTAGAAGATTTGCTACCTCCTACTTTTATGCCATCAATTTCTATTTTATTTGCTGTATGATTATCCTTTAACTGAAAGCCATCATAATTATTTTTTTCTAAAGACAGGGCTATAAGGTCTCAAAGGTTACTCAGGCTAGGGTACAGTGGCGCAATCATAGCTCACTAAAACTACAAAATTATGGACTCAAGCAGGGGTCCTCAAACTTTTTAAACAGGGGGCCATTTCACTGTCCCTCAGACTGTTGGAGGGCCGGACTGCGGGCCCTAGGACAAGTCAGCTAAGCAGGACAGGCAGCAGCAGCAAAAACACCCGGTGGGCTGGATATGGCCCACAGGCCGTAGTTTGAGGACACCTGGACTGAAGCAGTCTTCCTGTCTCTGCCTCCGGATGTAGCTGGGACTACATCTATAGGAATGTAGATTTTCAAAATTTATTTTTGTAGAGACAGGATCTAGTTATGTTGCTCAGGTGGACCTTGAAGACCTGATCTCAAGCAATCCTTCTGCCTTGACCTCCCAAAGTGTTGGAATTATAGACACAAGGCACCACAATTCGCTCTGTTAATTATTTTAGTGGAAAGAGACAGATAGGACAAATAACTAGCCACAATAGATAACCTGTGCGTTTGAAGTCAGCACAGAGCTTTAGCCTCTTCCGGATGCTGCTTTCTGAATGGGAAGGAAAAGCTTTTTTTATATCTTCCATTCTGATCCGCCGTGGCCGATCTTTACTCTTCCAGAAGAGGCGGTAAATAAAAACCTGTGCAACAAACCGAATGTATTTTATTTGACAAGGAAAAAGATAAAAGTCCTCCATAGGGCCTCTTCCCTGACTAAACACCAAGATTTTCATCTTGCCAGATGTGCTCTATAACCCACATACCCTTTTTCTTTTTTAAGAAACAGAGTTTCACTTTGTCACACTGTGTAGAGTGCCATGGCGTCACAGCTCACAGCAACCTCCAGCTCTTGGGCTTAAGTGATTGCCTTGCCTCAGCCTCTGGAGTAGCTGGGACTACAGGCATCCATCACAACACCTGGCTATATTTTTTTGTCACAGTTTGGCCGGGGCCAGGTTTGAACCCGACACCCTCGGTATATGGGGCCAGCACCCTACTCACTGAGCCACAGGTGCTGCCCCTACATACCCTTTTTTATACAATAGAACCTCCATCCTACATTGACCACCTTAAATTGACTTAATTTTCATGGACAGGATATACATCACATGTATGTATCAGCACAGAAGGCCTAGTTCCTTATGCTAACCACCTCTATATACTGACCAGTTTGTTAGAATCCCTTGGGTAGTTAACTTATACAGGTTCTACTGTATACAACTTGGCCCTCTCCCAATCTTTCCAATCTTACCTGTAGAAAGTCTCGAATATGTGTATTGGCCCTTTTTGAGTTGGGCCCAGGAACTTCAAACAAGGGGCATTGCTGGCCAACCACAAAAATATCCACTAATTCCCGAATATAGTAACCCTGTCTTGTCCGAATGATAAGGAAGTCAGTTTCTGGCATCTTATGAAGATAAATTGGAGCACGAAAAAGGTTGTTCTCAAATGCCTAACAGAAATAAAAAACATAAAAATTATACACAGAAAAGCCCTACAACATGGAATACCAAAAAGAGATTAAATAATTTTTATTCACTGTCTTAATTAGACTCAGTAATAAAGAAAATAAAGGAATCGGATGGGGCATGGAACTCATGCCTATAATCCTAGTCCTCTGGGAGGCAGAGGCAGGCAGATTACTTGGGCTCAGGAATTCTAGACCAGCCTGAGTAACACCAAGACATAGTGCCTACTAAAAGTAGAAAAATTCAGACCGAGAGTGGTGGCTCATGTCTATAATCCTAGCACTTGGGAGGCCGAGGCAAGTGGATGCTTGAGTTCAGAGGTTGGGGACCACCCTGAGCCAGAGCAAGACCTCATATCTAAAAATAGCCAGGCATTGTGCTGGGTGCCTATAGTCCCAGCTACTTTGGAGACTAAGGACAGAGAATGGCTTAAGCCCAGGAGTTTGAGGTTGCTATGGGCTACGACACCACAATACTCTACCAAGACTGACAAAGTGAGACTCTGTTTCAAAAAGAAAAAAAAAGAAAAAGGGACTCAGCGCCCGTAGCACAGTGGTTATAGTGCCAGCCACATACACCGAGGCTGGCAGGTTTGAACCCAGCCTGGGCCAGCTAAACAAAAAATAGCTGGACGTTGTAGTGGGCGCCTGTAGTCCCAGCTACTGGGAGGCTGAGGCAAGAGAATTGCTTAAGCCTGAGAGTGTTTTTTTTTTTTTTAGACAGAGCCTCAAGCTATCGCCCTGGGTAGAGTGCTATGGCATCACGGTTCACAGCAACCTACAACTCCTGGGCTCAAGCAAGTCTCCTACCTCCGCCTTCCAAGTAGCTGGGACTATAGGTGCCTGCCACAACGCCCAGCTATTTTTTGGTTGCAGCCATCATTGTTGTTTGGCGGGCCCGGGCTGGATTTGAACCCACCAGCTCAGGTCTATGTGGCTGGCACCTTAGTCACTTGAGCCATAGGCACCGAGCCTGTGTTTGTTTGGTTTTTTTTTTTGAGACAGACTCTCAAGCTGTTGCCCTGGGTAGAGTGCCATGGCAAAACAGCTCACAGCAACCTCAACCTCTTGGGCTTAAGCAATCCTCTTGCCTCAGCCTCCCAAGTAGCTGGGACTATAGGCACCTACCACAACGCCTGGCTTTTTTTTTTTTTTTTTGGGTTCTAGTTGTCATTGTTGTTTGGAGGGGCCAGTGTGGATTTGGACCCACAGGCTCCAGTGTATGTGGCTGGCGCCCTAACCACTTAAACTACAGAGGCTGAGCCAAGCCCAAGAATTTGAGGTTGCTTTGAGCTGTGATGCCACAGCGCTCTACCGAGGGCAACAGTGAGACTCTGTCTCATAAACAAACAAACAAACAAAGGTGGCACCTGTGGCTCAGCGAGTAGGAAGCCAGCCACATATACTGAGGGCAGTAGGTTCGAATCCAGCCCTGGCCAAACTGCAACAAAAAAATAGACGATGTGGCAGGCACCTGTAGTCCCAGCTACTTGGGAGGCTGAGGCAAGAGAATACCTAATCTCAAGAGCTAGAGGTTGCTGTGAGCTACGATGCCATGGTACTCTACCAAAGGGCGACAAAGTGAGACTCTGCCTCTTAAAAAAAAAAAATAAAGTAAGAAAAATTAGCCAGGTGTTATGTGGGTGCGTACAGTCCCACCTACTCAGGAGGCTGAGGTAAGAGGATCTCTTAAGTCCAAAAGTTTGGGGCTGCTGTGAGCACCATGGCAATCTAACCAGGGCACAGAGTGGGACACTATCTCAAAAAAAAAAACAAGAATAAAAAAGGAATTAGATTCAGGTGACCGCGGCTCTATCATTACCTATATTTTATCAGACAAGTTATTTATTATCTCTGGGCTTCATTTTTCTCACCTATAAAATGGAGAGACTTAAAATGTCTATACCTCATAAGAATGCTATGAAGACTGTATGTGAAAATCACTTTATAAACAAGTACTACATTACTGCCCTAAACCCTACAATATAGCTCCTGAAACACAACAGATGAGATCAAAACAGGTGAATAAATTAAGGAGTTAGCAGTGCCTGTGGGTAGGGTGCTGACCCATATACCAAGAGTGCTGGGTTCAAACCCAGCCCTGGCCAAACTGCAACAATAAAATAGCTGAGCATTGTGGTGGGTGCCTGCAATCCCAGCTACTCGGGAGGCTGAGGCAGGAGAATCACCTAAGCCCAAGAGTTGGAGGTTGCTGTGAGCTGGGACGCCAAGACACTCTACCAAGAGCAATAGAGTAAGACTCTGTCTCTTAAAAAAAAAAAAAAGACCTCATCTCTAAAAATAACCAGGCGTTGAGGCAGGCACCTGCAGTCCCAGCTATTTGGGAAGCTGAAGCAAGAGAATTGCTTGAGCCCAAGAGTTTGAGGTTGCTGTGAGCTATGACACCAAGGCACTCTACCAAGGGCAAAAGTGAGACTGTAGCTCAAAAAAATGTGAAAAGTCAAATAGCAAAAAACAAAAAAATAACTAATGAGGTAGAAACAATGCTAGAGAAGACAGAATAAACATAAGAATAAAACAAAGGAAAACTCAGGACAGTAGAGCAGAGCTATGATAGCAGAATGGAAATATTTATGAGCTAGGAGCAAGATCTGGATCAACTGTTACAAGAAGCCCATGCGGGCTGGGCACAATGGTGGCTCACATCTGTAATCCTAGCACTGTGGAAGGCAGAGGTGGGTGGATTGCTTGAGCTCACAAGTTCAAGACTAGCCTGAGCAAAAATAGAACCCCATCTCTACTAAAAAACAGAAAAACTGAGGCAAGATCACTTGAGCCCAAGTTGGAAGTTGCTGTGAGTTATGGCACCACAGCACTCAACCCAGGGCAACAGCTTGAGACTCTGTCTCAAAGAAACAAAGCAGCAGCCTGTGAGTATAAGGAAAGTCTCGGCTCAGCACCAGTAGCACAGTGGTTATAGCGCCAGCCACATAAACCAAAGTCGGCAGATTCAATTCCAGTCCGGGCCAGCTAAAACAACAATGACAACTGCCAACAAAAAATAGCCAGGCATTGTGGCAGGTGCCTGTAGTCCCAGCTGCTTGGGAGGCTAAGGCAAGAGAATCACTTAAGCCCAAGAGTTTGAGGTTGCTAGGAGCTGTGATGCCAAGGCACTCTACGGAAGAGTACATAGTGGGACTCTTGTCTCTTAAAAAAAAAAAAAACAGAGAGAGAGAGAGGGAAAACAGGTCTCTTCAGGCTTGGTGCCTGTGGCTCAGGCCACTAAGGAGCCAGCCACATACACCTGAGCTGGCGGGTTCGAATCCAGCCTGGGCCTGCCAAACAACAATGACTACAATCAAAAAACAGCCAGGCGTTGTGGCCGGCGCCTGTAGTCCCAGCTACTTTGGAGGCAGAGCACGAGACTCGCTTCAGCCCAGGAGTTGGAGGTTGCTGTGAGCTGTGATGCCACAGCACCCTACCCAGGGAGACAGCTTGAGGCTCTGTCTCAAAAAAAAAAGAAAACAATAGCAACAGTCAAATAAAGTAAGTAGAAGAACAGGGAAAATGGCTAAGATTTCCAAGAGAAATGAGGTGGATAAAGAAAAAATGATAGGAGAGTGCTAGAGGTTCCCCACATCAATTGTGGACCTCCATACTTCCCCTTGAACATATAAAAGCTATTACCAGAGGGCCTCTCTACACCCATTAGAACAAAGGAGGAAAAAAAGGATTTCACTGTGGTTGGGGTATACAGATGGCATGGTTTTGGTGTGGCTCAGTATTCACAACAACCAAACTAATGATCAAAATGCACCAATTTTACACAGGAATTAAACATTTATATAGCAAATTAAATTATACTACATTATTAATCCTAGGTTGGTTTCCCTATGTCATACAAACATTATTGAACTTACCCAATTTTTTTCTTTTCTTTATTGTTTGGGATTCATTGAGGGTACAAAGAGTTAGGGTACATTGATTGCATGTTAGGTAAAGTCCCTCTTATGATTGTGTTCCGCCCCCAATACGTGTGCCATATACCATGAACCCGATTCCTCTCCCTGGTCCCTCATTCCCCTACCCCTCCTTATAGTAGATCATCTACTGCCTTCATATTATAATAGGGTACACAGGATTCTTACTTCTCCATTCTTATGATGTTTCTCCATGAAGAATGTGTTTCATCCCAATCAAGGTGGGATTTATCAAATTTTCTTTTTTTTGAGACAGAGTCTCAAGCTGTCGCCCTGGGTAGAGTGCCGTGACATCACAGCTCACAGCAACTTCAAACTACTGGTCTTAAGCGATTCTCTTGTCTCGGCTTCCCAAGTGCTAGGAGGCGCCCGCCACAATGCCCAACTATTTTTTGATTGTAGTTGTCATTGTTGTTGGCAGGCCCGTACTGGATTCGAACCTGCCAGCTCCAGTGTATGTGGCTGGCACCTTAGCTGCTTGAGCTACATGTGCCAAGCCAGGACTTACCCAATTTTCAAAAAACTATATTTAGCCTAAGAACAACACAATTTAGAACCAGTTTAAGAAAAACATTTTTTTACTAACATTTTTGAGTTATACTCAACTTCCCCATCCTTGATACACAACTGTCTCTCAATCAACTAACACTGGTTCTGAGGTGATGAACTCCTCATCCATCAATTTCCTTTAAAAAAAAAAAAAGAGTAAAAATAAGTAATTTCTCACCTGCAATAATTGGCCAGGATGGAGAGAGCCCAGGAAAGGAGATGTATGACAGTAAACAGTTTCCCCATATTTACAGTCTGGTGCTCCAGGGTCTTTTCCAGGTTTCTATGAGGAACATAGCAGGCCCAGTTACTATCATGGAATATATATTATAATCAATAATCCTACAAGTATATTTCATAAGCATGCATTTTATTTATTTATTTTTTCTCTTTGAAACAGAGTCTCAAGCTACCGCCCTGGATAGATTGTCATGACTTCATAGCAACCTCCAACTCTTAGACTTAAGCTATTCTCTTGCCTCATCCTCCCAAGTAGCTGGGACTACAGGGGCCCATCACAAGGCCCGGCAATTTTTTTTTTGTTGTTGTGGTTATCATTGTTGTTTTAGCTGGCCTGGACAGGGTTCGAACCCCCCAGCCACTGTGTATGTGGCCGGCACCCTACCGACTGAGCTACAGGCGCTGTCCAGCATTCATTTTACAAATACAGACTCAGTATCCCTTATGTGAAATGCTTGAGACCAGAAGTGTTTTGGATACCAGTTAGGTAGCCCAACAAAATCTGAAATGCTCCAATGAACATTTCCTTTAAGCTTCATGTTAGTGCTCACAAAGATTCGAACTTTGGTTTTAGTTTTTCAATTTTCAAATTTGGTATATTCAATATGTACTACTAACTACAAAGAAAATACCAATCCTTTCTCCTCAAAAACTTATAGTACAAGAAAGTCAAAATGCATGTCCACAATTTATCACTAGATAACTAACTAAAGCTATACTAATAACAAAAATTTTTTGAGCGGGCTTGGTGCCTGTTGCACAGTGGTTACAGCACCGGCCACATGCACTGAGGCTAGCAGGTTCGAACCCGCCCAGGCCAGCTAAAACAACAACTGCAACTGCAACAACAGAAAGAGCCTGGCTTTGTGGCAGGCACCTGTAGTCCCAGCTACTTGGGAGGCTGAGGCAAGAGAATCACTTAAGCCCAAGAGTTGGAGAATGCTCTGAACTGTGATGTCACAGCACTCTATGAGGGTGACATAGTAAGACTGTCTTTTTTTTTTTTTTTTTTGAGACA